TAGCATTTATCCCTAAATAAAAATTTATACCTATTAAGGCTATAATTAGAAAATAATTAACCAGCCTTTAAAGGGTTTTATTATATAATTAAGATATTAGATATACTAGCAATAAGCTAGAGGGGAGAGTTAAATATATATATAAATAAATGGTCCTTAAAGGCTATTGCTATTATTATAAGTAAGGCCTTTAATATAAATATGGTTTTTATAGCGAAATAAAGTTCTTTGCTATAATATTCTTTTTTAAGATTTAAAATAGCGTAATAAATATAATATAGGCTAGTATAACCTTGTATAATAAGATAGCAAACTTTAATAGTATTTATTTTAGTGCGAATTAAATATTAATATCTTTTTTGTACTAGCTATAGATAGGGCAACTATAAAAATCTATAAACTCGGATTACGGATATCGTCTTTTAGCGCTACTTATAATATGCTGCAAGGAAACAGTATTGACGATTGGCCTTAGTGGAATCTAATAGCCGAACCCTGCGAACATGGAATTATTATACCCTTTCCCACCCACGACTCTACCCGCGCCGCAACCTTAAAGAAGTTGCTAGTAGAATCCCAATCAACCGGTTCCCGGCTATAATACTAGGAAAGTAGGTGCTATGAAGCCCAATCCTCTATATAAAGGCGACCTAGATCCTGCCTTTTGGGCGTCTTTTATATATAATATATAAAGATAGAATAATAGCTTTAATGCGCTAAACTTTCTGCCAAATATGCTAGAACTATAAGTTTTAAAGCTAAAGCCTAAAAGTATAGTAAATAATAATATAAGGAGGTTAGTAAAAAAAAAATTTAATCAGCATAATATTAATATTTAATAGTCTATAAATTATAATCTATATAAAATAGAATAGAATTAAGGCTAGCATTATAGTAATACAAGCTAATTTAAGAGATATAAAGAACTTTGTAAGCAAGACTTATAAATTCTTATTAAAATTAGAGTCTAGTACAAATATTTTAAAAAGTATATTAAAAAAGCTATATAAAAATATAGATGTGTTTGCTAAAACTCTATACCGCCTACTCAATGGTAATGCTAGGTAGAGTAATGAATTTGCTAGACATACTAACTTTGCAACAAGGTGTGGGAAGTTAAATTAGTATATATTGTACCTACCTAGGTATGGAAGGGACTTAGGCCACATTGAGTGTTTATGACTGTGTAAGGGACCGACTGCAACTTTTATAATTAGATTTGAAAACGAAACCTATTAGGCTAACATCCATCCCAGCAAGGCGGAAAACCCTCCATGCCAGAAAAAATAATAGGTATTTTAACTTCATATAAGCTAAAAACTCTACACATATTAATATATTTTAAACTTTTATATAGTTTATATTCTCTAGCTATTATTAAGCATTCTAAGCCCCTTTTATTAAAAATTTACCTTAATGCTACTACTTTTATACTAGATCTATATAACATTTTTATTTAAAGTAATAGAGAATTTCTCTAATATACTTCTACTATTAAGCTTTAATTGCATTTAATACTTATAAAATGGTTATATCCAAGCTATATAATCTTGCTAATATACTAGCAATCTTTATAAGCCTTGTAGTTATTATAATATTTAGATTTTTATAAAATTGCTATGCAATTTAATACCTTAAATTAAGGTGAGTAACCATTTTAGTTTAGTGCAAACCGAATTTATAAATAGCTTTTTCTAGGTATAGCTAATTTAGGAGTGTGGCTAGTAGTAAGAGTTATAGTTTGGTGACCTTTACTACTAGATATAGCTAAATTCTACTTTAAGTATTAAATTACTAAGTATTAATTAGGATTTTATAAATATAGAAATTGCTTTTTAGCCTTATATTATTATTTTTATATTTAAAAGTTATAGGGGTTAATGTTGGTAAAAGGGCCTAGGCTTTAATAATATTTAAAAATTAAATTAGTTTATAGTATAATTAAATACCCTATTAATTTTAAAATATTTATAAAATATATATTAAAAATATAAAATTACTATTATCCTTATAACTTATATAAGAGTAGAAATATAAAAAAAAAATAAAAATAAATATTAAATAATAAGCTTTATTTATAATAAAATTTTCTAGCTTTTTTTAAATTATTTATATATAATATATATATAAGCTATTATTATAATGTAAACTAGTTGGGGTAGTTTTTAGTAATAGTTTTTTCCTAAATAGTAATAATTTATTTAAATAGCGTAATAGCATTTTATAGCTATTTATTAGCCTAGTAAGTGCTAATAAATAAGTATTGTAATATAAGCCGCGAGGCTTTAACTAATAGCTTTATGGTTTTTTACTAATATTATATATAGCATATTCCCTTATATTATTTGTTTTATAAATTATTTTCAAATTAGCAATTATTTATATAACTTTTAGTATTAGTATTGGCGCTATTTACGAGGAGCCACTTAATAATAGCTTTGTAGCCTTTTACTAATGCCGCATATAGCGTATGCGATTCTTCGTGGTGTTGGGTAATCTTTTTTTAAAGAGCTTCCACTTCTCTAATAGTTCTCTTGATTTAACTAACGAATTAACTATTAGAACAGTGCTTAACTTTCGCTGTGAAACTCAAAGTAGACTATCTCCCGTACAAATTATAGCGCGGGCTACGATAATTTTAATGCAAATAAGGTATAATTTCGGACTAAACTTATCTATTTTTATCTTTAAGTAAGGCTGTATACTTTTTTTGTATCGGCTTTTTACTATAATAACCCATTTCCAGAGAATAAGCATAGTATAAATTTGTATTTTAATTTCTTTAAACTTCTTAAGGTTTATACCTAGTATATTTTTATTGTTTTTTAAGATTTCATCTTAGCTTAACTTATTAAATTTTTTAATAATGTTGTTTTTATAAGGAGAAAGAGGATTTGGATTCTAATGCGGTGGTCGGTTTGCTTACTCTTTGTAAGCTTTACTAATTAAAGTCTTCCAGTTCAAACCAGCAAAGTTTTATGTTAGATATATAGGGATATAGACGGTGAATTTAGATATGGTAGATGTGGTAAGATTTGGTTAAAGAGAGGTAATTTGTGTTTTAAGCAAATAGCTTACAATAATGGCTGGCTTTAAATATTTTTAATAAGGAAGAGATGGAAGAATATAATATTATGCTATATTTAGCGGAGCTAATTTTAGATGGAATTTTGAAATCTTAAATTAAATATTTAAATTTAACTTAAACAAGTCACTCTTTTTCTAAAAGCACTCTAACAATTACTTAATATTAAAATTACAATCTAGCTGAACCAACTGCCTTACTACTAACCCCCATTCGCCATCACAAATACTTATATTTAAAAAGTTAAAATCCATTTACTGCAAATGTCTCTAAAGGAAATTGAATAGCGATATCTCTAACACCGTCATATTATTAACACAAAAAAACGTGAGATGAGACAAGTGAAGTGAATCGAGCGGTACAGAGATGAAGGTCGATGTATCGTGAGGATGGGAGAGATGCGAATGGCTGATAGCTGTGGAAGGCGGCCAAGGATAGACAAAAAGCAAAAGAAGTCTGAACAGAAATTTCGTTGCATTTCTGCAGAGACAAATCTTTGGTAATTCAAGAAAGCGCTGTCATTGGCAGCGGAAGGCATAGTTTCCAGCCATTGTTCTCTGCCGCCATGAAGCAACGGGTGCGTTGCCCATTCTGCCTTTGAACAAATAGGCCATTCAGCATTGCGGACCGTAAGTAGCAAGAACTATCCTAATTCCCTAGCAAACCAGAAGTTCTTTAGAGGAGTTAAATAAGTAAATGCTTCATCCCTGTTCATCCCCGCAGCGAAACCTTTATACCTGATATATATGCCTTGTTTAATGCCTGATTTATATAAAGTGGCATGTGACTTATAGTATTCCGCATCTCCAGTCCAATCAACCCGGGTCACCAAAGAAGATAGGCCCGCCCGATGCGGTAGTGCCGGGGCTGTGGGTCGTCACGAAGCCTGGTCAAGGTAGACGCGGTCGGGGGGTTTCCTGTGTTCATCGCCGTGCCCCGCGGTAGTGTCTTGAATGAGAGGTCCGGATGCAGGAGCCGCGGATTATGGAGAAGGTGGACGGAACGACGGGTTCGTGGGTCGTGATATAGTCGAGGTAGTGGGTGTGTCCACTCGGGATCGAAGTGGAGCTCGCGTTCGATTGGGACGTGACGGAGGTGACGGTCCCTGTGCGGTCGTTGGGTCTCTGGGGCGGCAGCTCTTCGTCATCGGAGACTGTGGAGGTGGAATTCGGGGGCGAGGCGTCATCAGGCACGCCGCTGCCGTAACACGGGCGTAGGGTGCGCGAGTGCGCAGCGTTGGCCCTGCATCTCCGTCCCGATCCCCGTCCCCGTCCCTTGACCTGCTCTCTTGGCGCTTCGGCAGGGTCAGGGCGCAGTTGTCGCATGGACCGGCCCCATATGTCCTCCTGTAGCTCGACTTACGGCGCGCATGAGATGTTCCCATTTGTGGGGAATCAGACGTGCACCTGGGGCTGACGGGCGGCGTATTCACAGCGAAGGCGGAAGCGATCTGGGTGGCGCGGCGTAGAGCGGAGCGGTTGGTGAATGGGTCTTGCTCGGATGCGGGCGCCGAGGAACTGCGTTTCCTGTCGAGGTCGAGGTGGCGAAGATGCAGAAGCAGGACCGGTGAAGATTTTCAACCCCCTCCAGCCTGACGTCGTCTAGGTCCCCGAGACGGTAGCAAAGCTAGGTGTTCCGCTAGCAGTGAAGGATTGGGTATGGAAGCAGAGAGCCAAGCAGCTGGCAAAGTCGACCAGAAAGAAGGCGTCAAACATGCCATCAGGAGGTCTTAATCAATATGTCAAGAATACAAAGGCCATGAGCTGGAAATTTATTTTTCTATCACAGAGGCTGTTCTCTCATGTCTTAAACTTCGCAAAACAGAAATAGGTTAAATTTATATTGCATGGATATGCATTGTGGACAACATTACTCCACTCGGTAACACGCCCAAAACTTTATATAAAACAAGCACTTATGCGAAACCATTAACAGCGATAAAGCTGACATCATTGTTGAATGACTGCTTAACATCGAAGGCGTCAACACCACCGTTGGATGCGATATACGCAAGGTTGTTGAAGGGGCGCACATAGCGTGTGGGATAGCTCCAGGAGCGAAGCGAGATGCCTTGGCCATTAAGACCAGCCTGTGTGCAGAAGGTGACGTCCTCGTAATACTGTTTGGTACCTTCATTTGGAGCAACATACAACTGAAAGGCATAGTGTCGAAGAAATTGGCCAGGAGAATCATTGCTCTCGAACGAGAAGCAGTTGCTGTTGCCAAGCCCCGTCCGTACCGTCCAGCTTGCCGCCTTCTTCAGAGCGGCAGTACTGCTGGTGCTGACAGCTTGGATGTCGACAAGATTTGTTGTATGGGAAAGATACTGTGTTGGATTTCCAGTGGTTTGTAGCGAGATGGATGTGCCCACGGTGAGTGGTGGCCCGCTTATCAGCGGGGCTGCGGCGTACTGGGCAGCAACAACATTGGCTTGGACCAAGTTTTCAGTAGCATCCGTGGGAAACCCAGTGGTTATACAACCCTCATAGAAGGTACCCTGGGCACTGTTGCTGTTATCACCCCCAACACCCAAGGTAATCGCCCCCTCCTTGCTCATTGGGTTATAACCTGAAGGCCGTGGGCCGTTAAAGTATGTCGTTAACGCGCCAAGTGTTGCATCACCGCCCCGGAGTGCCCAGTTATTTGGCCGCCCCTTTAAAGTCGCAGTGAAGAATTGTTGGCTGACAGCTGGGAGTGCTGGATTCTGAGCAACAGCTTGGGTAGAGTAAAGGCCATTCTCAAGATCTGCCAGAGGCCAGGGTCCAGTTCCAGCGCCAGTACCCCAAACCGTATTAGAACCAAAGTAGATAGATTCCATATGACCGTTGCCGTTGTTATCGCTGTTTCTCTCCGCATTACCGTAGTCAAAGCAGCAGCCACCATTGTGGTGGGTACCATCAACAACAGCATAAAGACCCTCGGGAGCATCTCCAGTAGCTAGACCAGTTGCAGCATTGTTTCGGTAGCCAGTCCCAGGAGAGATAAAGACACCATATGCCTTCTGGCCATTAAGAAACACCGGTGCACCAATAGCACTGGCTAGGTTATCAGCGCCATTAACGTCTGGGCCCAGGAAATGACCAGGTGGGCCCTGGGTCAGATGGTTTCCTCTGCCAGACTGGTCGTAAATAATAGTAATCAGACACGTTGTGCCGGCACAAAAGGTATCCTGGGCAGCAGAGTTGGCGACCCCGCCGGCGGATAGCGGAGAGATATTCAGCGTGGTGCCATCGGAGCCACGTTGTATCTGGTAGAGGACACCGGAGTAGGTTCTGTACAGGGCACGAGTTGTGCTGTGAGCAGCGACGCAGGGAGTACCGCCGGATGCGTAGATATCACAGGGCAAGGCACTGGGTGAGCTGGATGAAGCAGGGGCTGAACTTGAAGAAGCTGAACTCCGCGACGGAGATGTGCTTGGCGGAGACGAGGACGAGCGCGACGGAGATGTGCTTGGCGGAGACGAAGACGAGCGCGACGGAGATGTGCTTGGCGGCGACGAGGACGAGCGCGACGGAGATGTGCTTGGCGGAGACGAAGACGAGCGCGACGGAGATGTGCTTGGCGGCGACGAGGACGAGCGCGACGGAGATGTGCTTGGAGGCGACGATGGCAGGCTCACGGGGAGCGACGAAGGGAGAGGAGACGGGAGGGTAGAGGGTAGGGAAGAAGGTAAGCTTGAGACGAGTGTAGTGAGGAGTGTAGTGGGGACTGTAGTGGGAAGTAAAGAGGGGAGCAAAGAAGGGAGTGAAGAAGGTAAGCTTGAGGGAAGGGAAGAGGGGAGGAAAGAGGGGAGGAAAGAGGGGAGCAATGAAGAGGGGAGCAATGAAGAGGGGAGCAATGAAGAGGGGAGCAATGAAGAGGGGAGCAATGAAGAGGGGAGGGAAGAGGGGAGTAGTAAGAATGGCAGCACTAAGGTAGGCAATATTGAGGTAGGCAGTATTAAAGATGGCAGCATTAAAGTAGGCAGTATTAAGGATGGTAGCATTAAGGATGGCAGCATTAAGGTAAACAGTATTAAAGATAGTAGCATTAAGATGGGCAGTATTAAAAATGGTAATATTAAGGTGGGCAATATTAAGAATAGTAGCATTAAGGTAAATAGTATTAAAGATAGCAGTATTAAAATGGGTAATAGTAAAAAGGGCAATATTAAGGAGGGTAATATTAATAATAGTAGTATTAATAATGGCAATATTAAAGTGGGTAGCATTAAGGTGGGCAATATTAAAAATAGTAGCATTAAGGTGGGTAGTATTAAGGATAATAATATTAAGAATAGTAGCATTAAGGTGGGCAATATTAAAATAAGCAATATTAAAGTAGGCAGTATTAAAAATGGTAGTATTAAGGTGGGTAGTATTAAGGATAGCAGTATTAATAATAGTAGTATTAAAAATGGCAGTATTAAGGATGGCAGCATTAAAATAGGTAGCATTAAGGTTAGCAATATTAAGAATGGCAATATTAAAATGGGTAGCATTAAAGATAGTAGTATTAATAATAATAGTATTAAAGATAGTAGTATTAAGGTGGGCAGTATTAAGAATAATAGCATTAATAATAGTAATATTAAAAATGGTAATATTAAAGTGGGCAATATTAAAAATAGTAATATTAAGGTAGGTAGTATTAAGAATAGCAGCATTAAAGTGGGTAGTATTAAAAATAGTAGTATTAAGGTGGGTAATATTAAAAATAGTAGTATTAAAATAGATAGTAGTAAGGAGGGTAGCATTAAGGAGGGTAGTATTAATAATAGCAGTATTAATAATGGCAGCATTAAGGTGGGTAGTAGTAAGGAGGGCAGTATTAAAGAAGGTAGTAGTGAAAAAGGGAGTGATGTAGGTAAGCTTAACGGGAGCAATGATCCTAAGCTTAATGGGAGCAGCAAAGCTGTGCTTAACATTAGGAGCAGCGACTTTAAGGTCAATGGGAGCAATATAGGTAAGCTTAATAATGGAAGCAATAATAGTTTTAAGCTTAGTAATAGGAGTAGCAATATGGGCAAGCTTAATAAGAGGAGTAGCAACTCTAAGCTTAGTAATAGGAGTAAAAATATAGGCAAGCTTAATAAGAGGAGTAGCAATATAGGTAAGCTTAATAGAAGCAATAATAATTTTAAGCTTAGTAATAAAAGCAGCAATATAGGCAAGCTTAATAAGGGGAGCAATAATATAAGTAAGCTTAATAGGAATAGCAATATAGGTAAGCTTAACGGGAACAATATCTTTAAGCTTAAAGATGGAAGCAGCAATATAGGCAAGCTTAATAAGAAAAGCAGTAATATAAATAAGCTTAATAGGAGCAGCAATATGGGCAAGCTTAATGGGAGCAATATTTCTAAGCTTAAAGATGGGAGCAATAATATAGGCAAGCTTAATGAGAGGAGCAACAATTTTGAGCTTAGTAATGGGAGCAGCAACTTTAAGGTTAATAAGGGAAGCAGCAATATAGGTAAGCTCAATAAGGGGAGCAGCAATGTGGGTAAGCTTAATAGGAGCAGTAATATAGGTAAGCTTAAAGGAAGCAGCAATAGTTTTAAGCTTAATAATAAAAGCAGCAATATAGGCAAGCTTAATAAGGGGAGCAGCAATATAGGTAAGCTTAATAGGAGCAGCAATATAGGCAAGCTTAAGGGGAGTAGTGATGGTTTTAAGCTTAATAATAGAAGTAGAAATGTAAATAAGCTTAATAAAAGGAGCAGCAACTTTAAGCTTAATAATAGAAGCAATAATTTTAAGCTTAATAATAGAAGTAATAATTTTAAGCTTAATAATAGGAGCAGCAATTTTAAGCTTAATAATGGGAGTAGTAATGTAAGTAAGGTTAATAATAGGAGTAGCAATATAGGCAAGGTCAACAAGGGGAGCAGCAATGTAGGCAAGCTTAATGAGAGCGACGTAGGTAAGCTTAGTGGGAGCGACGACGTAATGGCTGGGGTTGATGAGATAAGAGTCATAAAGCCGCTGCCCGGCAGGACAAGAATTGGCACGATCAACGTGTACGTGGCACCCGCGCTTGTCCGTGCAAATATGATGGCGACGACGAGCCCGGGGGCCGTGTCGGCCGCAACGAACCCTTGCAAGAACCCTGCAGCCCCCAACGTGACAAAAGTCGACGGGGGCTGAGTGTCGACAACCACAAGGATGTCACTCGGACTCAGAAGGTAGACACGGAGATCAATCAGATACGAGGAGCCCGTCGTAACGATCTGTGTGGGGACGGGTATGCTGGTTCCCAGTGTAGAGGATGCGGAGGATGTACCAGAAGTTGTCGTGCCCGGTGGACTTGAACTTGTCGTGCTCGGTGTACCAGAAGTTGAAGACTCAATGGCTGTAGTCGATCCGATAAGAGACGTGGAGCCGCTGCCTGGAAGAACAAGAATCGGCACGATCAACGTGTACGTGGCACCCGCGCTTGTTTGCACAGATATAACTGCAGTAATAAGCCCGATGGGCGTGCCAGGCGGAACAGAACCTTCTAAGGACGCCCCAGCCCCAGGCACAATAAATGGTGACAGGGGAGTAGTTGAGATAACCCCAAGAAGGATATCATTTGGATTTCGAAGGAAGGATAGAAGAGGAATTGAATATAAGGAGCCCACTGTAACATCCTGTGTGGGGACGGGTATGCTGGTGGGTCCCAGTGTAGAGGATGTAGCGGGGGTACCAGAAGTTACTGTGCCTGGTGTACCAGAAGTTGCCATACTTAGTATATCAGAAGTTGTCGTTTGTGGTGTACCAGAACTTGTCGTGCCTGGTGTACCAGAAGTTGTTGTACCCTGTGTGCCAGAAGGTATCGTGCTGGGACTTGTGTTATCCAGTGTGGCAGATGGTAACGTGCTCAGTGTACCAGAAGATAACGTGCTCAGTGTGCCCGAGGTTATGGTGCTTAGTGTACCAGAAGTTGTACCCAGCGTACCAGAAGTGGTCGTGCTCGGTGCGCCCTGAGCCGCAATAACGACCACGAGTATGGTCACGGTGTAAGTGCTGTCATCCTGCCTTACAACGGACACAGTGACTGTAAATGTTCCGTTTGGCTGAGTTAATGGGACGGAACCGTCAATAATACCTTGGGAAAGATCATAACCAACCCATGGGTAGCTAGGGATAGATACTATGGGTAGTGTGATCCTATCGGTAGGACTGTTTAGGAACGGGCCTATATTAATGGTAAAAGGGAACCCAGCTGTGATTGTAACAGTGGGTATTGATACACTAGCCGTGGGGCTTGGATTGTTGAACGTCGTTGTAACCCCGCTACTGGTGCTAATACCCGTGCTCGCATTTGCTGGCCCAATAACCACATTAAATGTCACATTAACAGTAGTATCGGAGCCTGCAGGTCTGACACCAAGGGTCACGCTGAATGTACCTGGGGGTGTTCCCAGTGGGGCGGTTCCGGTTAGGGCCTGGAGTGAAAAGTCAAATGTGACAAATGGCTCGGAGGGGCTGAACGTCGCCGATATTACTTCATATCCAAGCCCTCCGCTGAACGTCACGAGTGGGATATTAAACGGGACTCCCGGTGTGATGGTCGGCGTGGGCAGGACAGTACTGCTAGATCCAGGCCCTGCTGATGTGGTTGTGGAGAGCAACAGCGGCGTTGATGTACCAGCAGTCGAAATAGAAGCGGCTGACGTTGGCAAGACAGTACTGCTAGGTCCTGGCTCTGACATTGACAGGGCAGGACTGCTAGTCTCTAACCCTGATATTGACAGGCTAGTACTGCTAGATTCTGACTCTGAAGTTGGCACGACAGTACTGCCAGTGCTGCTAGACTCTGGCTCTGACGTGGTTGCAAATGGCGGCGTTGACAGGCCAGTGCTGCTAGATTCTAACTCTGACGCGGTTGCGGATAGCGGTGTTGATGTAACCGAAGATGGAGCGGCAGACGTTGGCAGAACAGTACTGCTAGGTTCTGACATTGATGTTGTGGATAGCACCAGCGGCGTTGACGTAGCCGAAGTAGGAGCCGCTGGAGACACAATGAAAGGCAATGTGACGGTGTAAGGCAGGCCATCACTCCCAAGAACACTCAGCACGACCTGATATCGTCCAGGGGCTGTGCCTAAAGGCGCTGTGCCGATTAAATTCTGCAGAGGCCCGATACTAAGCCCACTAATTGTCGGGGACGTTGCTTGAATTCCCTGGACGATATCACCGGCACTGCGCAAATATGCTGCATAGGAAACATCGGCAGGGACCCCGGGGGTGATGGTTGGTGTCGGGAGACTGGTGCTTGTAGATCCTGTCCCAGCCGACGTAGTTGTAGCCGTGGCAGGAAGAACGGTAAAAGGCACGGTCAGAGTGTAGGACAGGCCATTCCTTGCAACAAAAGTTAATGTTGCATTATACTTCCCAGGCGGGGTATCCAAGGGCGCCGTGCCAGTGATGTCATGCGGCAGCACGAGGTTGAAAAAGGTGAACGGGGCCGCCGAGAGTCCCGTGGCCGTATCGTCGGGGCTGCATAGGTATGGCAAAGTCGAGAAGTCGAAAGGAACCCCAGGAACGATGGTCAACTCCGGGGTTATAACCGCAGTCGGGCTCGAGGACGGGGCTGGGAAGGTAGGGGTGCTGCTGCTGCCGAGTGATGGTGAAACGGAGGAGGAAGCAGTCGCCACGGCCGTGCTGCTGCTCACGGCGGAGGTGCTAAGGCCGCTCAAGGTGCTGGGACTGCTGATTACAGTACTTGATGAATAGCTACCTGCAGTGCTGCTGCTTATGGCGGAGGCGCTGGGGCTGCCTGTAGCACTGCTTATGGTGGAGGCGCTGGGGCTGCCTGAGGTGCTAAGGCCGCCTGGGGAGCTAAGGCTGCTCAAGGTGCCCGAGGAGCCGGGGCTGCCCGTAGCACTGCTTATGGTGGAGGCGCTGAGGCTGCTTGAGATACTAAGGCCGCTCAATGTGCTGGCACCACTGGTCACGGTAGTCGATGAGGAGCCACCCGTAGCGCCGCTGCTGCTGCTACCAGCGTTGGCGAGAAGGGTGACTTGGATCGTCACGGTGTACGAAGGATCAAATGGTCCTCCAGCGGAGAATGTGATCTGGAAGACGGTGGGAGCAGAGTCGATTGGAGCTGTTCCGGTAATAAATGGCCTTGTTGGGTCTGCCAAATTCGGACTCAGCACAATCCATGGGAAGGGCGGCATGGAAGAGAAGCCAGTTGGGATGTCGCCAACGTTGTGCAAGTAGGGATCCAAGAAGATGACGAAGGGGACACCCGCAGTGATGGTGATGCTGGGACCTGGGATGGCAGTGCCGGTCGGACCCGCGACCGACGTGGTGCTGCCAGCAATGGGGCTGCCACCGGTGGTGCTGCCAGCAATGGGGCTGCCACCGGTGGTGCTGCTCTGGTTGATTGCCGCAACTAGGATCTGCGCGGTGATAGAGTACGGGTTGCCATTACCGTCTACTGCATTGAGTATAATAGTGAAAATACCGGGAGGCGTGCCCAAGGGTGCGAGGCCTGAGAGGGAAGTGGCCGTGCCGTCTGAGGGGTCCAACTCGATCCACGGATAAGGCGACAAGATGGATTGGAGCCTATCAGTAGGCGCTCTTAGGGAATTTAGCACGCGGATAGTAAAGGGAACTCCCGGAGTAATAGTGGCTATCGGCCCGGCAGTTTGACTGGACTGCAAGGGCTGGCTTGTTGTCGATGTCTCGCTGGGCTGCAAGGACTGGCTTGGTGCCGAGGTTTGGCTGGGCTGTAAAGACTGGCTTGCTGCCAAGCTCTCACTGGGCTGCAAGGACTAGCTTGGTGCCGAGGTTTGGCTGGGCTGTAAAGACTGGCTTGGTGCCGAAGTTTGGCTGGGTTATAAAGACTGGCTTGCTGCCAAGCTCTCGCTGGGCTGTAAAGACTGACTTGCTGCCAAGCTCTTGCTGGGCTGCAAGGGCTGGCTTGCTGCTGAGGTTTGGCTGGGCTGCAAGGGCTGGCTTGCTGCTAAGGTTTGGCTGGGCTGTAAAGATTAACTTGTTAATGTCTTGCTGGGCTGCAAGGACCGGCTCGCTGCCAATATCTTAGACTAGCTTGCTGTTAATATCTCGCTGGGCTGCAAGGACCGGCTCGCTGCTAATATCTCAGACTGGCTTGCTGTTGATGTCTTGCTGGGCTGCAAGGACTAGCTCAAGCTTGCTGCCAACGTCTGGCTGGGCTGTAAGGGCTGGCTTGCCGTCAAGGTCTCGCTGGGCTGTAAGGACTAGCTCGAGCTTGCTGCCAAGCTCTGGCTGGGCTGCAGGGGCTGGCTTGTTGTCAACATCTGGCTGGGCTGCAAGGGCTAGCTTGGTGCTAATATCTTGCTGGACTGCAAGGATTGGCTCGCTGCCAATATCTTAGACTAGCTTGCCGTTAATGTCTTGCTGGGCTGCAAAGACTAGCTCAAGCTTGCTGCCAAGCTTTGGCTGGGCTGCAAGGGTTGGCTTGTTGTCAAGATCTGGCTGGTTTGCAAGGACAAGCTTACTATCAACGTCTTACTGGGCTGCAAAGACGGGCTCGCTGCCAATATCTCAGACTGGCTTGCCATTAAGATCTCGCTGGGCTGCAGGGTCTGGCTTGCTGAGGATGTCCCACTGGGCTGTATTTGGCTCACCGCTGATGTGGACTGCAAGATAGACGTTGGGGGTGCTGCAATACTCGTGCTGCTTCTTTCAACAGGAGCAATAATGATAAGGAATGGGATATCGACAAGGTCGCCGCCAAGCCGTGTGCCCCTTAGTGTTGCTATAAGCTGTCCTGCAGCCTGGTTGTCTGGCACAGTACCCTGTAGGCTAGGGCCATTCGGACCATTTGGAATCAAGTTAATCCAGTTAACCTGAGGCTAAGTTGATAGAAGAGAAATTGTACTCAGGTCCGGGAAGTATAGCCCGAGAGCGATATTAAATGACAGCCCGGGCGTGACAGTCGGGGCTGGCAGGCTTGTGCTGCTTGGCCCGCTGCCAGATGTCGTAGTTGGGGTTAGCAGGCTTATGCTGCTTGGAGTACCGCTGGGTATGCCGCTGGGTGTGATGCTGGGCGTAACAGTCGGAGTGAGCAGGCCGGTGCTGCTTAGAGCGCTGCTGGATATGCCGCTGGGTGCGATGCTGAATGCTGAAGAGGAAAGGGGCTTTGGGACAACTCTGACAGTAAATAAAAGTGTAATCGATACAGTAGAGCCAACTGGTACACCAAGCAGTGTTATAATAATTAGTCCTGGATCCTCGTTGATGGGCACAATACCCTGTAGGCTAGGATCATTAGGACTATTTGTAAACAAATTAATAAAGCTGGATATAGGCTGAGTCGAAACCAGAGCTATAATAGTAAAGCCTGGGTAGTATGGCCTGATAAGGATATCAAAGGGCTCTCCTTGCGTGATTTCTGGAGTTGGAAGCCCGGTGCCAGTCGGCTGTACAGACGCTGATGTTGAGCTTGGACTCGGGACCACAGCCAAAGTAAACGTGACTGTAAAGGGTGTGCCATCTGCAAGCCTGCCACTGATGGTTACTGAAATAAGGCCAGGCAGCACGTTGATAGGTGGGACCCCTTGAATGTTTGGGAAGGGTTCCAGAGTGCCAATCGTTATCCAGCCGGAAAGAGGTGTCGATGTGATGGACAGGCCACTGACCACAGTGCTGGGCAAGAATGGTGCCAATGATATGATAAAAGCGACGCCGGGGGTGACTGAGGGCGTTGGGAAGCTTGTCCCAGTCGGGCTCGTCGGAGACACTGTTGATGGTACCAAGGTTGTTGAAGTCCCCGGAGGACCAGAAGTGATGGTGTTTGACCCCGACGCTGACGGCCCAGATGAACCTGTACTACTGGAAGTTCCCAGGCCGGCTGAAGTCCCTGGAGCACCCGAAGTATTTGGGATGGCTGAAGTCACTTGGGTACTGGAAATCGGCGGTCCACCTGAAGTACTTCGAGTACCCGAAGTGCTAGGGCCAGTCGAGGTCGCTAGGGGACCGGAAGTAACTAGGTTTCCCGAGATACTAATTGCATTTGTCGAGGAAGGAAGCGCTGGTGAAGTGAATATTGACGTTGGCGTCAGGGAATCAAGTCCAGAAGAGCAGCTAATGGTGTCGGTCTCGGTCACTGTCACTGGGGGAAGTATGGATGTTTGGTTGCAGATGACGTTGATGATTATGGTGAACTGAACTGGAATACTAATCGTCTGCCGCTTCATGCGAGAGGGTCCGTTGGCCAGTTGACCAGTCACGGTCGCTTCTAGCGACATGTTGGTGGATAAACCAGAGGGAACATTGCCTACGATGGACATATTCGCCTTATCGAGCTGCACCCAAGGTACCTGTGGGTTTAGGACGAATTTCTCAACGCTCAAAAGAGGCATATCCGATATGTCGGTGAGGCTCTGAGAGAAATTCTGCCCGTTAAAGACGGTATACTTAGCAGACGTGGTAACAGCGCGAGCACCAGCCGAGTCAGGGGCGAGAGCTAGGCCTGCAGGACCTGGCGGACCCGGAGGATCAACAGGTCCTGTGGGATCCGGCTTCGGAGGACCGGGATTTGCCGTCGGTCTTGCGCACGGGAGCTCCAGCCATGTGGTATCGTAGGTATAACAGATAGAAGCAGGCTCGGCGAGGCCATGCTCTCCGTACGTTACTGGCAGGAGCAGCGCCAGCGGCGCGGCTAATGTGAGCCATCGCCAAATCTTCCCGCAAGCCATAGTGTTCTTGCCCTAATTAAGATTGGGGAATTCAAAAAAGATTGAGGAAGTTAATAAGGACTGTAAAGAGCGTGGAGATGATGGCGAGAAAAGACGGGATGCTCCAAGTTCATAACCAGCCCTGAAGTTAAAAGGAAGTCTCGATCATTTATAATCAAGTTACCCACCACGTCTTGGAGATAGTCTACAGAATCTCAGTATGCTCATGTACAACAAATCTTCATTCATTGCATGCCAGATCTCCTATCTCTGGAATTTAAAGCCTTTTTGTTTTCGGTGTTCTGAATTAGAATTTAATATCACGACTATCTATACTACAAGACAGCTCTCCCTGGTATTACCCTAAACTTAGTGTTAGTATGCATAATAAACTCAGGTTGCAGTGAACTAACATCGATGGCGTATTATTTACATTGGCCGTGACTTAAGCTGGCTTGTATTTACGTTCCCACAAGACACGCCTTGGGCATCAGGAGAGTTGTACAGCGGATAATCGCGTTGGTTGGTTTGAAAATGGTGTCGTCATGTATATACTATACGTAAGTACTTAAATATAATGAATCATCATCTTTACAGCCTCGGGCGGCACATGGGTTTAGAACTTACTATGTTAAGCCCTTATAATAATTCTTTATGTAAGATATTATGTTTAGCAATTGATCGTCGCTACTCCCTTGCCTTTTAAATGGACATACCCAGCGGCTATTGGACTTTTTAGTAAAAGACTGGGTCGTGGAGTGTTTACGACTGTATGAAGGGACTAATTGCAGCTCTTTTCTTTTTTGAAGGGGTATTGTGATCGGCTCGAGAATGAAACCTTGTATAACGTGAAGCCCCTGGGAGCAGTGCAAATGTTTGCAAACGTGTTTTAGGCCTTGATCCACCTTCGCCACACCCTGTCCATTCTTCCGTTCTTCCCCTGCTTATCCCATACTAATCCCTTGTTATGTGTTAATAAAAGAATAAGAGAATGGGGGCTAGCGCTGGGAGGTATGTGTTATGTTTAGGAAGTAAAGTTCCCAATACGGCTACAGTACTACTGTTCTCTCTAAATACACCCTGGGCACTGGGTGCCCCTTTCCCCACCTACGGTGTCTTGGGATACGATTCTGTGGCCGCAGCTATTAGTACAGAGGAGCAATGCAAACCACAGCCGCATTTACACAATGAGCACCAACACGTTTGCTTGCAACGGATACCCGAGACGTCTGCTATCCTCCAATAACCTCTACCACCATCACTGAGTTTGTGGCTAGTGCAATAGCACACAAGGACGGCCTACAGCCTAATGCTATCTTATAAATTTATAGTGCGGGGCCCATTTGCCAATCATTCTTTATAGAAATGGTCTCATCTCGCTAAGTACCAAGCTTATTATAAAGCATATTATGGATATTAGGCTTTTTACAACTTGTAACCAAGGAGTAAAGGCTAGAAGCTTTAACCATACTTGCATTTTAACTAGGGCTTATAGTATGTCTCCCTAATATATATTTAAAGGGCTTTTATTTAGTATATCTAGAATTATATATA